TTTTAATAATATATTTTCATAGTTCAAAAATGGAAAATATAAATTCATGAATTGATTGTGAGAAAACAATAAAAACCAAAGCGATGTTTTGGGTTTTAATGTTTTTCTAACATGCCAAAAATCTATTTTAAAAATTGTTTCAGCACATTTTACAATATTATTTATACGCAACCCATTATAAATTTAGACTTAACTGTAAAGGTTAATCACAGGGTGATTCAAAAAGGTATAGAACAACATATACCATTGAACAGCATCGAAAATGGGTAAAATTTTTGTGCCGAGCTATGTGCGAAATCTCAAGGGTTTTCGATTTATAGGGATTTTCACGAAATTTTTACTTATCCAAGTTTTTTTTTATTATGACTTGCATTCTAAATAGGATAGGGATTTCAAACAAACAGTTTTTCAAAGGCCTAGCAAAAGGGTTTAAAATAAATAGGTTACTCGATTCTGTATTTTATGTACCTGTGCAATACCAAGCATTCGAACTTTAGAGAAAATCAAGTTTTTCACTTGTTTTATTTTTTTAGTTTTTTCTAACCAGATAACTTCGTAAGGTATTTTATGAACCTTGAAATTTTTTTTATAGAATGTTGCCCTGCTGCTTAAACTTTAATTTAAGTCCTCAAATATTAAAAAATTCCTTTTGGTATCTTCTAAAGACCCAAAATTCTGTAAGCCACAAATTCAATTAAAATCAAACCAGATGTTGCTAAAACTAAAATTAAATTCAATTTAATATTCCTTTATTCAATAATTTTACAAATTTCTCAAAACAAACACAAAAAATTTTTTATGAAATTTACCTATGTAATTCGGCAAATATTTATGTTTTCCTTCTATCAAATCCATTTCTATTCAATCGCATATTTGAATTTTTTGCTTACATGGAACACCTCTTTAATTGGATTAACCGTATACCAATTTTTTTAGAATCAAGATAGCTTTTGTAGAAATATGTTTGAAATTTATTAATTCCATTAAACTATTTATTAATAATTCATTAGCTTCATAATGTTAATATCATATTATTTACAAACTCCATTTTGCTAAAAAAAGTCAATTTTCCTATTAAAAAAAATTTCTTTTCAATTAAAATAAATGTCAAAATTTGTATGGCATGTCTTTAAAAATTCGCTCCAGGTGGATAATTTTAATAACAACAGATGCCAAATGGTGTGTACATTTCGAAAGTATTTTTTTCAAATTTTTAAATTGCACCCAATCTCAGAAAAATGCATTTAAAAATTTCAAACCATATAGGTACCATTTCTTACAAAAATTGGCAAAAATAAAAAACCTATCAATTTTCTTTACCAAGAAAAGTTTCGAAAAAAATTTTTTTGATTACTAGATTTTTTTTGTAATTCAAAATTCTAGTTTTTCTTTTCAAAAATTTCAAATTTTTTTAAATCAATTTTTATTCTTCAAATTAAAAGTTTGTATAAAATTTTCGTTTCAATTTTATTTTTATTTGTTCTTTTTGATAAAAACATTAAAATTCGAATTTTTTTTGTCAAAATAACGGTTCTTAAAAATCTCAAGTGTGTTTTTTCGAGTGACTCTTGTCATCAAAGATTAATTATAGTCGATAATTATAGAGCTTAAAATCAATAAAAATACTGCCTCTAAAATCTTAACATAGAAATGGTTTTTTGTGCAACATCTTCTGTACCATTTAAAATTTTTTATGTTTGAAGTCTTAAATTAAAGCTTAAGCAGCCGGGCAAAATTCTATAAAAAAAAAATTTAAGGTGTTAAAAAAATTTCTTACGAAACTAACTGTTAGAAAAAACTGAAAAAATAAAACAAGTGAAAAACTTTCTAAAAAAAATGTTCTCTAAAGTTCGAATGCTTGTTATTGCGCAGGTATATAAAATACAGAATTGAGCAACATGTCTATTTTAAGCCCTTTACTAGGCATTTCAAAAACTGTGTTTGAAGTTCCTATCTTTTTCAGAATGGAAGTTATACTTATAATCAAAAAAACTTGGACAAATAAAAATTTCATCGAAATTCGTTAAAATCCCTGTACTTAACTCCAAATTCCTTGAGATTTCCCACCTAGTCCGGAGTAAAAGTTTTACCCATTTTCGATCCTCTAACCAATGGTATATGTTGTTGTATACCTTTGTGAATCACTCTAAATATAGACATATGTAATATGATGCAATAAATTTAGGAACATTGCCATTATAAAGTTTCCACATGAAGGGAAAGTATAATTTGTTCACACAAAACAGAAAAATTTCTCTTATTTAGCGCTAATTACCTTTACTTAATTGAAAAGTATTGTTGATATGTTAAAATTATAGGCCCTTTACAAGGTGAAACATTTTTTAACATATTCGAGGCCCAAAAAAATATTATTTTTCTTTTTTAATGCTATTAGCTTTAAACCATTTTGAATAATTTTTTAATGAGAAAACCAAATAAAATATAATTACAACCCTAATTTTGAAGAAAAACTCATCATTATTTTACTTGTTAATTTTAACATAAAAATGTTATAAGTATTAAAGTTTTAAAAAACTTTAATTTCAAAAATTTTGCGATTCCCTTTTTTCGCAAGTACAATATAAAACAAAAAGGAAGTAACAAAAAATAAAAAACAAAAAGATCTCATGTAACATAAAAACACAACCTTTTTTTTAATGCTACAAAAACACCACAAAATGTCCTTTTCAAAAATTTATGCTTACCCCGAGTCCTGATAACCTTAATATGCAACACAAAACAAGAAAAGAAAAAACAAGCAAATGTTAAAAAAAAACAACAAGGCAATAACCAAAAACTACACAGTTTTCATTTAACCTTAACCAGACTCAACTCTCTAGAACCGAATTAAAATCGTTCCTTTCCCCTCCTTACATTTTTCCATAAAACATGAAGATGAAGTTAAAAGTATCCTGTCCAGCAAGAACACAAAAAATACGAAAAAAATATACATATAACAAAAATGACAAAGATTTTAATATTCCAAATTCAAAATAATTTTGTATTCTGTGGTTTCAAGTGTAATGGAAATTTTTCCTTTTCCTCCATTTTTTCGGTACATTAAAATTCCTAAAAAAATTGTATATTCCAATGCAATTTGCAAATGCGCTTATTATACCACCCCGTAAAACTCTTTATCTACAATAAATTTAAAACCATTGAAAACTATTCTGCCAGCCACTCTACAATAATAAAAACAAAATAATAAAAAACAGTACCAGAAGGAGAAATAAAACATTTGTAAAACTACAGTACAAATAATTTTCATTCAGTCTATTGTCCTTTACCACAATAAAACATAAAAAAAAGCCAAATAAAAAGAAAAATTTTAAATTAAAATTTGAGCAAGAAACAAAACTGGGTGTCATTTTCCCACACATTTAAACATAAAAAAAAAAATTATTATAATATTCGAGAATTTATAAATATAGAATATAAACGGCAGGATAAATTTCTTCATACACTGTAAAAGTTAAGGACTTAAAAATTAAGGCTGCCTTGAATTTTTTGCTGCTATCTGAAGAAGTAACATCAAAATAAATATGTATTGAGTTTTATATACGAATCTTAATATTACAGCTGTAAATATTGTTCAAAATCGGAAACATAAATATTGGGATTATGCAGTAGACTTTATAAAATGCAAAAGTAGCATAACAAGAGATTCCGCCAACTGAAATCAAAAATTGTGCATTTGCACGTATAATTGTTAATACGCTAAAAGAACTATGCATATATAAATATGCATGAATGTAGTATTAAAGAAGAGCATAATTATACAATAATAAAATTAAAAATAATTATTGAATTATTTAAATTGTCTTTAAAAGGACACTGCCAATAAGAAGATTGTTGTAAATGTACGTAACCAACAAGGGGATACTAATTAAGTTGTACTTATTATGATAGCGAATTATAAATTGTGTGTATAAACAGTGAATCGCTATAAAGTGTTAAAAAAAATAAGAAAATAATATAAGTATATGGTAATTAAAAATTTACGAACTTTTCCTTTGATGTTAACAAGATTCAACTTTTTTATACCGAATAATTTATTTTAAGTCATTTATTCGCGCGCCAAACTTGCTTTTACGTTTAACTAAAACCATAGTTCATAAAAATACTAACATTTTGATCTTTGGAAATTATTTGATCTTCGGAGAAAACTTCATTAAAATCAATTGAATTGAACATTAACAAAACTGGCATGAAATTGTTAGATTATGCCAAAATTTAAAAATTCAGATGTAAATTATATTTTAAGAAAATATAGTAATTCATGCGGCATTGTTTGCTCATTTTATGCCGAAACCTTAGAAAGCATTCTTGTTTTCTTCAGGTTACTCAACTGAAGTGTTTAAAAAAATGGAATTAAATAAAACTTAAATATATCATGAAAAAAATTTATGGAGAGCAACCCTTTCAGACAAAAAAATTATTCATTCTAAACTAGTTACCAATTAGAAATTTGTTAAAGATTTATTATATTTTATTCTAAGCGCGATTTCCAAGATCAATGAAAAATTTTTCTTAATTCTTCTTGATTTTAAAAAACAAGGTAGGTTTCAAAGTCAAAAACATCTTCTCTTACAGAATTCAGGTAATTGAAGTTTTTCTGATTTTTTTTTACTTTTCTTGTTCGGAATCACCTTGTAAAAGCAATGTGGAGAAAGTATACATATTCAACTACATATATATATGACCAAATTATAACTATATATCACTATACATACATATATTTTCTCTTCTATTATACCCTTTTCGTTAGTCCGTGTTACATTGACGACATTTAACTTTTTGTGAAAAATTTTATACAATAATATACATTATATATACAAGTATGTATAAAATGAACTCATATTATATACTTACATACATACTATTCAAACAAAAATATATTATTGTTATATAAGCTAATATAATACTTTAGAACAGTATAATGTATTTACTTATACACATAATATATATCCATAAATATATAAAAAATAAAATACACTTACCAATTGTTTTTGTCCATTGGGCTTGTGGCCGCCAATCTGGATAATGTTTTGGAAATAAATTTCGTGTCCAATATGTATGCAGTACAACCTTATAAACCACTAGACGGTCCGGTGAACAATCACTTAAACTTTGTATATTTATATTATCATTATTATTATTATTATTATTGTAATTATTGTTATTGTAATTGTTATTATTGTAATAATTATTATTTTCAAAATATTTTGTATAATTAAAATTTACATTATTATTGTTATTGTTATTATTATTTGAATTTATATCATTATTAAATTGTAATGGATATGTTGATATTTTGGCATCGTTGCTACCACTACCAATATTATTATTATTAATTTCATCAAATGATAATGATGATGTTCCATGATTATAAGTTGCTGCTACAACTGATAAACTTATTGGAGAATTAATATGACAGTTAAATAATAGAAATGATAAAATCAATAAATTTGAAGGGGAATTTTTTAGCCAAAACATTTTTATTTCTAATTTATTTTTAGATTTCTTCATAATTCTTTTATTTTTTAATTTTTGGTTTTTAATAATTTTGTACTTCCTGCAATATTATTATTTATTTTTTTTTATTTTTATTAAATTATTTTCAAAATTTTTCATATATTTTTTTCTTTTTCAGTTTTAAATTATAATAAAGTGGCAATAATTTTCTTTTAAATTCTTAATAATTTTGAATTTATATTAATTTTTGTTTTTAGTTTTCCTGGAATCCCCAAAAAAAATTTTTGTTTTTCTTTTCACTATAAATTATATTTTTATTTTGGGGGAAAAATTTTTAGTTTTCATGTTGTTGACAAATGAAAAACGAGAAAATATGTACGATAGAAGTGGCAAAATGAAAAAATCACGTTCTTGTTGTTGTTTTTTGTTTTTTTTTTATGTTATTTTGAGTCAATTCTTAGAAAGTTCATTAAAAATAATAGCATTATTTAGTTAAAGTTTATAATTTATTTTAAAAATTAGAACAAATTTTAGAATGAGTCACTAAGTATATATACATATGTATTCCAGGAGGTCCTCTAAATTTATAACAAGCAAATGATAGAACAAAAGAAAAATAAGATTCAAAAATAAAAAAAATTTTTAAAAATTAAAAAAAAAAAATAATAAAATGGAAAAAAAACAAGTCAATTATTTAATTAAAAGTAAAAATATATACAATATGCAATTCATAATTCATTTTACGAATATTTTTTAAACTAATTAAATAATTTAAGTTTTGTATGGAATAAATAGCGAAGAAATTCACTCCACCTAATTACATACGACTATCAAATTTTGGACATTTATTTGAAAATTAAGGGAACATGATTAAATATTCTATAAAGAATTTTATACCCTCATGATAAATGTTCATTGAAAAATATGTTGCTTTAATAAGAAAATTTTGTTTAATTGTTATGGCAACTACCATTAAAAATGCATGGTCTTATCTGCTTTAAATTTACTCCGAAATCCTTTACTTTACATAGTTGGTTTTATTATTATTGGGTTATAAATTCATTTTGATTATACTTAAGCTTAAAAATTTAGATTCGTACACATAATTCAGGAAGAGATTTGCATGCGGAAATTTATTAGACGTATTGAATCTTCGATAACCGAAATTTGAAATCGTATTTCTAAATAATATAATTAGAGTTAAAAGTAAAACCAAAACAAGACGAGCTACTTTAGCTATATATATTTATGTGTCAAAACTCTTGTTTTGCATATAAAACTTAATTAGTAGACATTCAAGAACTACAAGATTTTCATTAAAACTTTACTTTTAACGGAACTGTTGCAAAATTAAAAAATGACCTAAAATGTAATGACTTATTACGCACTTATTACGTGATGCAATCGAAATCTACTGTAATCTACGTACTCCAAATTCTTTGATGTGTGATCAGCTGAGATAAATTACAACACTCTTTGCCAAAAAAGGACAAAAATTTTTAAAGTTAATCTAGAAGATTAATTAATTTTCTGCTTAGTCGATTCGAATCATTGCTAGATTAAAAAATCAATGTTTAAAGTATTTAAGTTCGTCTTAATAATTGAAATATAAAAAAAATCAAATATCCACCACATATTATACGTCAATTTCTAATAATATCCAAACCACAGCTCTAATTACAATTCAACTCGGATCACATGAAATTTCCATAATACTAATTATTATTTTGTATAATACAAAGATCAAAATTATTCTTAATCTAGCAAATTTATTTTAATAATTAAGTTGGGTACATGACTACCATTAACTTTCAGCCGAAATAATTCAATTAATATTTTTTCATCATCTACTTTCTTAATCTCAAAAGTATATTTAACTTAATTAAGTTTTATAAGAAAAATATTTTTTTTTTCTCTTTTTATTGAACAATTATATTTCACCTACATATTGTTATTATACCAAAATATTTCGTTTACATAAATTAATACTCATATTATGTACATATACCTACATACAAGTATAAGAATTTTTTTCATTTAAATATACATATTTGAAAAGCAAAGAAAGAAAAATTTTTCATATATGTAGATAATTTTTACCTGCTAAAACCTTGACAAATCATGAAAGAACAAAACATTAACACACAAAAAAAATTTTCTTTTATATTTTCAATTTTCTCAAAAATTAAAGATTCATGAGAAAAAGAAATTAAGGATACAAAAGAATTTTAATTCTCTAAGGAATCGTTAAAAATCTATACATTTTTGAAATTGAGCAATCTTCCAAATGTCAATTATTAAAATTATAATAACTAATAACATATTTATAATATTTTTTAATAATGTACAAAAATTAGGAATACCTGTACTACAGAACTCAATTTACTACTGAAATTTTTGTTTTTTATGCGTGAAATGCAGTAACAGTTATTGTTTCCTGATTTAAAAACATCTCAAAGCAAATTTCCTAAAATATACAAAATTAAACAAAAAATAATTGAATAATTTAATTAAAAAGCATAAATAATTAAGAGAAACTTGTGCTATACTTATAAGAAATATTTTAAATTTTTACACAAAAATTACTGATTAATTAAGTATAATTTAAAAAAAAAAATTGCCGGTCAACAAACTTGTTTTCATTTACTTCATGAATTTTCAATTTAAGTAATTAAGCAAAAAAAAAATTTTTTCTGTACATTTTTAACCACCTTAAAAGTCTCTATAAGCATATAAATCGAAATTCGGATAAATATTTCACTTAAAATTAACCACAAATTTTAAATTTTCCAAATATGTATTTTAAATTCCATTTTATGAAATTTTTTTATTTTTAAGTTTTAATTTTTTATATATTCTTGGCCGTCTTTTCTCTTTGATTATTTAACAGTTTTTATTAATTTAATTTTCACCACAGTATACATATTATATTAAAAATATTTGAAATTTCTTTTTTTTTTCAAAAATTTAAAAAAGAAAAAAAATCACGCAAATCACGTTCCTATGTACACCACATACAAAATAACGAACGAGTTTGAACAACGAGTCGAAAGCAACTGTTCTATATTTAGAAATTTGAGTTCTATTTCAACGATACAATAATATGAAATTTTCCTCTCTCACTCTTCTTTCCCCTTAATCAAACAACAATATTATTCTATTTTTCTCACATATAAAATATTTTTCTCTTTCCTCTCTATTTATAAAAATATCAGTGAGTGTGAAAAATAAGAGTTTTTAAAATTCCAAAAGAAATTAATTTTTTTTTGTTTTATTCATAAATGATATACAAAAATATTTTTCCATATGTTTTTTTTACAAATTTCACTCTTTCTCTACCATACAGCCATCACTAGTACACTGTTGTTTTTCTACTCAAATTATTAATAAATAAATCCTTTGTTTATAATTTGCAGATTACACAAAATGAATTTTTGTTTTTTTGTTTTAAATAAAATAATAAGTAGAACTTTCCATACCTCATTGAGTAAATGTGTGGAATGATTTAGTTCTGCGCAATTGAGAAAATTTCTCATTATATTTTACGATGAGAAAAAAAATTATTTGTACATACATTTAATTTAAATAGCATACATGTATGTATTTTAACCTCTCCTTGAGTGAAATGAATTAAAAATATTTTCGAAAATAAATGAGAAAAATGAATTGTTTTTTTGGTATAGCGGGAAAATTAACAAAACAAAAACTAAAGAGAAAATAACATGTGCGTTTTTTTAATGTTTATTATATACATACATCTATATATGTATATACAATCAGATTATATATGTACATACAAAACATTAAATTCATAATATATGAATATTTTTCGGAAGTGTATTAAAGTGGAAATTGAGTGTATCGTATATGGTTGATTTTTTTTTTTAAATTTTTCATGAAAATTCTTTCCAGTAAATCATAGAAATGTGAAAAGTAAAAGAAATAAATTTACAAAATGTGCAACTAATGATCTGGAAATGTTATGAAAAAATTTTTCAACTTTATTTTTGTTTTTCGTTGTTCTTTTTTTTAAACTTATGCTACAGTGAATTTAATTATATGAGATTTTCAATGTTCTTTCTGTTGTTTTAGGAAGCATTTGAACATTTATATTTTGTTTTAGTTCCTGTAGGAATTGATTAAGTTATCAACAGAGTAAGAAAAAAAAAGTTTTTTCTTTCGCTTTTATTTTTTACATATTATACCTTTCACTTTATGATTTTGTTTCTACATTATATGAACATTATTTATAAAAGTTGACATATTTTACAAGAAGTAAAGTTAAAAAAGAATTTTCCTACATAAGTTAAAGATTATTAAAATGTTTTTTAGTAAAACGTGGATCGTTAGATTAAAATTAATTATAAAAGTTTGATACTTATTAATATTTCTATTATATAAGATGTTATTTTAAACTACAACTATTTACTGTTCCTCTGATTTGACTTACCAACAATATCGCCTCTGAATTGCTTTATTATTATTAAAATTTAAATAAACTATTATTAATTTATTAAGTTTTAATAATTCATAGTATTATATTTGACTACTTTTTATTCGAAATTTGAGCAAGAAAAATCGATTCTTTCAAAAGTTTATTGGTTGTTTTTTCATTTAGAATTATAAATGCACGGTATTGTCATAGACATCCTTGTAGTAAAATGTTTTATTTAGTTTTCATCTCATTTCAAAAGAAATGCAACACAGGAAATTTCATTCTGTCCCAATACCTTCCCTTTTGTACTGAATGCAGTTGATAATAATTTCATTTGATTCCTTTCAAATCGTTCATCTTATTTTTTTTCAAATGGTAATAGAATATAGTTTAATTATATTAAACTTTATATATTGATCTTCCGCAGCGAAAATTTTGCACAGGTTATTGCATACATTATTTTAAGTAAAATATGTACTTTTAAATGAGAATTTAGTGTCAAATAGACAGGCGCCCAATTTAAAGATAATTACAAGTTAGCTGTCTCGAACGAAAAACCTAATATTTAAGAAAGTTTCAAAGCTTCATATTTTTTAAATCATGCATATCTTTCAATATATTCAAAATTCAACATCACATTGCTTAGAACTTTTTCAAATCAAATTCGGAAATCTCAAATGCTAATATGAGATGCTAATACCAAAAATATCTTTTGAATATTTTTATTTAATACAATACGGTATAGTTGTAGTGATTACAAGGTAAGTATAAAACGCAACTTCACAAATGTGATATAACAATAGTAAAGCATTAAAACTAAGTTAAATTCTATTTCATCCGCTTTGTCATAATCCGCTTTCATCCGCTCTCACTGTGTCATAAAGGTTTTGAAAAATTTAAAATATCGAAAAATAAAATCATTTTTATTTTATTAGAAAAAATTTAAAAAATCAAATAAAATTTCACCTGTCTTTAAAATTTTTAAAATAAAACCTACTGTCCAAAAGCTTTTACAATAAATCTCATATACAGTACAGAACTTGATTTAAATTAAACACGATGCCTTTTCTAGGAAAAATCAGCTGAAAAATTTTACAGAAATCGTAAACTAAAAAATAAATAATCTGCAAAGTGACATAATTATATTCTCACCTTACACGCATGCCTCATTTAAAATCATCTGATTTCATAACAGCAGAATATGCAATAAAATGAGAATAAGAATATATGTAGAATCTGCAAATCCTAAATATATGCAACAAAATTATTATTCTCTTTATTTCTTTTCACCCTTTTTGTTTTTTAAATATTTCTGTTCAAGTAGCTAGCTAGCTATAAGTTTGTTTTATATTATAAATATAAGATGATGAATTTTGAATAAAAAAGAATAAAAAAAAAAGTAAAAGGAGAAAAAGAACAAAAATAAATAACAAAAACTATAACTTTTCCTCTCTCCCAACACAAAACAGAAAAAAAAAACATTATAATTTAAGGATCATAATGTAAGAATATTAAATTTCTTTTTGGTTAAAAGAACATTAAATATTCAAGGTCATTTACACAAAATTCTATAATAATATAATTAGATAAAATTTATACATAGGATATACCTAGTTTATTTTAAATTAAAATTTATTTTTGTAATTTTATATTGCCCAATATTTTTTTAAGTATCCGTATTAAACAAAAAATTAAATGAAAAGAACATCCGTTTTTTTGTACCTTTTTGTTTTTTTATTAAAGGATTATAAAAAAATTTTATTTAAATAAGGAAATTTTTAATAATTTTTTCGTTTTTTAGTTTTTTTACTATATCTAATTAAAAGTCTTTTTAATTATCTAATATTTTTGAAGAGTCCTTATAGAATACTGCTGTGAATTTATAAAAAAAAAATTTAGTACTTATATACATATTTCGCTTTGTAACTTTGGAAAATTATATTTGAAAAGGAAAAGCGTAAAAATGATGCAAATTCATTTTTAATAATTATTTGTGTGCAATAATATAGAAATTTGAAAAATAGTAAATAAAATATTAATTTTAAAAATTTTAATATGTAAATACTCTTTGATATCAAAAGCAAGTTTTTGTAATTTGATTGCAATTTTAGAACTAATTTTAAGGCTTACCGAATCCTAAATAAACGAATTCCTAGATTTTCAGTTGGATTTTTAAAAGTATTGTAAAAAATACCAGAATTGAGGAAGCTACTCGTATTAATCTATTAAGGACATCTTCATATCTATGTTTCATTAGTAATTCCTATAGTTTAGCTTTTTGGTTTTGTTCAAGCATTTGCCCATTATGATTTTATCTCTTTTCATTTTAGAAAGCTATCAAAACCATGTTACCTAGATAACTGAATTACTTTCACTTGTTTTTATTAAAATTTTTAGAATTTTTATCTTTCAATACTGAAATTTTTGTTAAAAAATGAAATTCGAATTGTTGCTAATACAATTTTAATAATAAAGTAATATAGCAATAAAAAGCCTGTAAAAAATAATTCAAAAAATTTTACTATACAAATGTAGAAATATGATATATGTAAGTGTACAAAACCCCTTACTACATCCCTGTTAAATTCAGTTATAGATTAGATTGTAGAATATTGATACAGCCATGAATTATTGTAGTCCTCCCATATATCCTGTTTATAGTACCTCGGTTTCAAACAAATATCCGGAGATATTTTCAGAGTTATTTGGACGTGAGCTCCCCAACACTGAGAAAGCCCAGCCCAAACAGTATACACCTCCTGACGGCGAGAGCAGAATAAAAAAGGGAGTTCGATTTACCCAGTTTGTGAAGGCTATATTTCACCGGACAATGCCCAATGAAGAAGCCAGTAATAGCTCGAACCCGATTTTGATCCATCACCAGAAGCTCTAAAAAGATATTATTTGAAAAAGATGGAAGGAACAGGTTCGCAAATCAAAATTTACTTATAATTTTCAAACTCGATTTTATGAAAAACAAACAACTACAAATAAGCACTGAACTGCCATGAATCGACTTAAAATTTTATTTAAAAAAGAAGAAACAAAAAAATTAATAATATTTTAAATATTTTTCAATTCCCTTAACAAAATTCAACTTAAACTTCCTTTAATATTTTTAACTTTTAAAATAACAAAACATTTTAATTACATTATAAACACCTACGCAGATGCACAATTTATAAAAGGACGTCAAATAAAAAATTTCATTTAAATTCTTTTGTCTTACGATCTTTCTCTTCTTTCACCTTTTTTTTTCCTTTTCTGTATGTGCTGTCTGAACCTTGGTCTTTTCACCGTAATCTAATTAAAAATTATCGTTTCTTCTTTTTATTTTATGTATAGCTAGCTACTATTTAAATATTTCGAATAGAGAAAATTTTCTTTTTTTTAAATTTAAGTAACTTTTTTCATTTTCTTTCCACAAAGAAGAAAAAAAAAGTAAAATCATTTAAAATAAATATTTGAATTACAGAAAAGGGGTTTTAATTTTATCAAAAATGAAAAAATAATAATATCGGTTAGCCAAAAAGTCATAACCACATTCAAAAGATAGTTAATATATAAGATAGAATAGAATAAATTTTAACAAGTCATCTAATTTGCATATTTATATATTATATATATATTGATATTAATCTAGTTTAAGTACATTTAAATGTGTATTTAAACATTATTAAAATTTATACATAGGATATGCCTATACACACAAAAATATAGGAAATACTTTAGACTCAAAAGTCCTTTTTGAGTATATAACAACTATACATAAATTGCAACAAATAAAAAGTAAGAGAGAAAAGTATAAAATAAAAGAAATCAAAAAGAAAGGAATATAAAAAAGAAAAATAAAGAAAAAACTATTTAGGATATATCTAGGACATATCTAGGAC